TGTCACACATACATGGTCCGACGACCACAGTATTGAAAATACATGAATTCTGCTTAAACCTTATACAATCTAAATTACTCTGGTTCTTAAAGTAACATACATTGTGGTGTTCATTCAATGAATAACAAAACTCACATGTAAGTCGACCACACAACTTTGGAACTCGCACGACAGGTCCATACGAGCTGGCATTGAAGTAGACTACATTTAAAAAAAAAAGTTGATGAGAATGAATCTCAAACTGTTATTAATGATCAGTAATCTAATATGCCATATGATAATAGAAACTAAAAAAACATCTGGAACTGATTTCCACTTTATTTAATGAATATTCTGAAGTAATACATCAAGGCAACACTGAAAATGATTAATATTACATTGATTACCCACTGATTGGACGGTGTTGAGAAATGAAACTTACAGGATAAAAAACAGCATTTTCAGATGTTGCAACAATTTTGTTACATTTCTTCATAGTGATATGTACATCATATTTTTGAATATCATCTTCCCAACCTACCAGAATAACAAGAATAACAACTGAGTTATGATAATCTCCTTCATTGGCGACTATTTCAAAACTTTTGACCGCAAATGTACAAGACTGAAGTACTGTAAAATACGTTATTTTAGCTGGAATTAATCACTGAAAAGACTTTTTGGGTGTTTTATATGAAATTTATTTTCACTGATTTTTGACAAATTGAATGTAAAAAGTAGAGAAAAAGGGATATTTGCAGGATTTTATTTTTGCTGAATCATCCCTTTAGCAAAAATAGCGAAAAAATAAAGTATTTTACAGTATGGCATTTTAGTTTGACAGTCAGTCATCTTAGGTTAAAGCACGGTAGTCGGTAGTAGTCTCATACAAACAAAGATGGCGACTTTGACTGTACGAACGAGTACGAACTGAGACGTTTCCAAGCTTTAATTAAGTAATTTTCATGTTATTGGAAGGCATCAAAGGAGTCACTGGCAGTAATCAGTGCAAGTCGCGCCCAGGTCAAATCTCATACTTGTGATTTCCATTTGAAGAGCGCATTGGATTGTGGGAAAAGCAATGTTTATCAACACAAATGTGGCACATGCGCAGTTTGAATAATATTAACTGAGACATGCCTGAGAAATTGTTGATGAAAGTTAAAATTGTGTTGAATTTGTTAGATATACATAAAATTGATTAAATGCTAGCTATAGAATAGTTTATTGCTTTTTAGCTTCCTTGCGCCCTCTAGTGGTGATTATCTGACATGCCTCATGGCTTGAATAGCATTGCCCTAAGATGCCTGAGAAACATTTGATGGCATGTTAATACTCTGTTATTTTTGGGAATGGAACACCCAAATGAATAGAACTCATAATAAAGTCCTTGTTTTGGACTTCTGACAGGCACTAAAATCACACAAGCTAATATACAACATTTCTTGAAATTAAAAAAACATTTGAATACAATTCTCCTCCACCAGCTTAGCTCCATTAATCTTTTCACCACCAGAATGTCTTGCCCTAATTCGTCTGCACTCTTTTTCTTATGTTCTTCAATTTTTCTGGAAATGAACCCTAGTTTTGAAACCAACAGACAAAATTTGGGTAAATATTCAGTTTTTACTCAAAAAATTTGGCTATTTTTGTCCCAATCTTCTGAAGGAAAGTGCAGACTAAAAACACAGCTATTTTGTGAATTTGTGATGAAAAGAGAGAATTGGTGTTGAAAAAATTAAAACATTAGGATTAGTTCTTATCTGGTTCAAGTATATTCAATTCAATTCACTGCTTCAGGTCAAAGCCTCAAATATTTTTCAAGAGGTCTCAAAGCATGCAATGTTTGTAACATAGCAATCATTTCTGATATGGTGTCACAGAAGACCTTATGATACAGCAGTCAGTTCTGAATAGATGGCATTCTATTGTTGAGCCAATATGGTAGATTTACCTACAGGTGGTTTCCAAGTCATATAAATGACAATGTGCTTGTTTTCAAAGAATACTCCGGTAACATTTAAATCTTCAACCATCCCTAGTTTACCTAAAACAAACACACATTACATCAGAACATACATACAATTGAGAATGGTGGATTTAATCAGTGTATTGGTGTTAATTAGTATAACAGTGTTAATTAGTGTGTGAATTTTTCACAGTACTAAACTATACATACAACCTGACTAAATGGGCTCACCTGAAAAATAAATTTCAATTTGTAACGTTGACATATAAAACTGATTTTTGTAAACAGGACTTGACACTAGTAGTACTCCTATAGTCTGAAATGGCCATTCATACAACTAAATAGTGCCTCACTTGTTTATAAACAGACTACAGTAAATATATAGGCCACAAACTATTCAGACAAGAGAGTTTAAAAGTTAACGTCAAGCCCTCGTGAACAAATAGAAATAACTTTCTATGAAGTATTCCATATTATAGTTTTACTGTGTTAGGTTTATAGTCAGATTCAAAAGAACCATGCGATTTATCAACAAAATTCCACATTAGTAAGAACAATAGACTTTATAAGCTTAAGCGCCAGATTTTCTGGGGCATTCTATTTTTGCCAAGTTAAAACTGTTTTTGAATTTCAATAACAACTACTGGTATTTGTATTTTCTCATAAAAATAAACAGAGGAATGTTCATTGATAGAAAATTCATCCAACCAATAAGTACCAGGGTGTGTGACCTTTTGGGGGTTCTACATAAGACCTACATTAGAAACAGTGTGAATTCTGAGATAGGAAGTTATGAACAAAATGGCAAAATATTGTAAAATACATTGTGATATTGGAAAACAATAGGTCTGAATCCGTTAAAAATAAATCTATTTAGACATACCTGTGGATTCAGTCAAATTAGAAAATCCGCTGTTACCATACATGTTGACTGCTGCCACTCTAAACTGATATTCAGAACATATATCCAAGTTTTCAAGACGAATCAAATTACTAGTTGTCTAAAAATAAATAAAAAATAAATCATCTGTAACTGTAAATCGCTTTAATTTCATGAGACAAATGTTTGTTGGAGAAAATTGTGAATATCTCTTTTGTATCGAATCAGCTAAAATTAGACCTGGCTGCAGGTACTGGTACTCAGAAAACTAGGTTGTGCCAGGTTAATGCAACATCGCCCTCTATGGTATGTCAGTACAAATTATTAAAGCCAACCTCAAACACATCATCTCACAGACTACAATGAGATATAGGGTTAGAACTAGTTTGAATTTTACCTGATTATAAATAATCAATTCATGTGTGTAGCTTCCGGTCTTCTTATAGGCAATAATTACATAATACAATGGATTGGTTAAATTACTTGCAGGCTGCCACTTTAACAAGACTCCATCTGGTGGTAACTCAGACACTTCCACTATTGGCACATCTGCTAACAATTCTGATTGAAAAAATAAGATACAGTTTGTTTCTAGGAGACCTAGGAGCTTTCTGTACTGATCAACAGTGTTTTAGTTTATGTGTTGATATTGCACCCTGGTATACAATGCCATAATCATGTCAACAAAAAATTATAAAAGTGTAAAACTCCTCAAATCACAAATCTACATGCATCTTGCTTGACTAGCTGAGACATAGCATGTTACAAAAAAAAGTTAAAGGATTGAGACAAGGGGTCAGGAACAATTGTGTAGATGTGAGCAATTTTCTGGGGTCCTTTAAATGCAAAACAACACACTTCTTCAGTTTTTCAAAACATAAAAACTTGAAAATTAGATGCAGCCAAATAATTATATTAATTATACTAATGACATTAGCTTTGGTATTGCTTAGACATTCTGCATACTTGGTTGTTTATTGCATCATATGCATTTGTAGTAGAAATGTACTAGTAGCTCAAAAGTAGTACATTTCCCACTTGAAATGATCTTTACATCTTTTATGTAAGGGACGACATCAAAAGATCGATGTCGAATAAAAAACTTAATTCCTTTAATTTTTTTCCAAACCCCCCTACCCCCCACTGAAACTTAATTGATAAATATTGGTCATGGCGTCAAACTACATTCACTATTAAATACAAATTGATAATCGGACAGTAGTATTGCATAGCAGTTGGTTGTCGGGTGGGTGTAAAGAGAGTTTACAAATGCACCTCATTTGACGCACAGATTTACACTCGAACCATTTTTCTTCCCCTTTTCGGTTATTTCTGTCCATGATTGGATAGAACTACAAATACTCCAAGATTTTTTTGACTTCATTAAAAAATAAAATCGTTTTTGTAGGATGGAAACTTTTTGAGGTCAAAACCCCCCACCCCCAAACTAAAGGAAATAATTTTTTTATCCGACATCGATCTTTTGACGTCGTCCCTAAATCACACTGACTTTCACAAAATTCATTTTTACAAGGACATTTCTAGTAATTAAAATTAAACGGCTTAAGGAAATTCATGCTAAATGGAGATTATATGTCATCATACCAAAAATTAGAGTCACCAAGCAATTTTCCGAGAAACGAGTATGAAATGTCATGAAGAATTGCATTTTGCACAGATTTCTACGGTAAAATTGTTTTTTCATATAACAAAATTTTGCTCTGCAACATACAATTAAAAATTCATCTAGTATTATTGAAATGAATCCTAATATTGTTAAAACATTTCAAATTAATAATATTTGATTTACTGATTTTCCAGTGTGATAATAGTTTCATATTTTATACAATGGGAAGTTCTCACCCATAATGCATTGCACATATGTGCAGGAACATGCTGAGTAGTACAACATTTAAATTTGGTTTGAAATGCCTAAAAATTGTATTGTATCAATATTTGTTGTAGTAAAATATTTAACAGTGTTCTAAAATGATAATTTAATAGAATAATCAATATTTAGGGGAAAATGACAATAAAAGAAAGACTACAATGTACACTGACATGGATAAAATGCACATGACTAATACAAAGTAAATAACAAAGGGTCAGTATTATTTACACACACACACACAGGATAGACTTAAAGCATTCAAGTAATACTGTGCACTTGAACTTGAGGCTCTGATCACCCAACCACCTGTTTGAATAAGGGTAAATAATACTTTGTCATTTGTAGAGTTAAAGTCAAGGATGACAATCAACACGTTTATTGAAAAAGTAATTATAGAAACAAATAAAACAAAGTTCATTCATTTGTTTGTTCAGCTTAAAATTACTATTTGTTCAAAGTGACATTCAATAGACTCTGTTAAAATGCTGTACGACTGTAAGACATACATATTTGCGTTATTTCAACGTTCTCACAAATACAAAGAGTTTTTCCCCTCAAAATATTGCAACAGGAATGAACTTCATTTGATGGCATTCAATTTCAAGTTCAAAATTTCCCAAAATGCCTGACTATTTTGAAGGGCAACTAGACATTCAGCTGGAGCATCTATCGGCAACAACTACAATGGCCGCAAAGAATGTTGGTAAACTTGGTAAATGAATAAGTCATTAATGCAAGATCATGGAGAATCTTTATTTTTACTGCTACAAAAACTCTTAAATTCCAATTTACAGCAATAATATATGCTAGATTGTGATTCCCAGATTCTACTTGTCCATGTTAAATCACAGAAGAAGTGTTTCATACATAGAGAAAATACTCACCTTGCTCAACTCTTGCATTGGTACAGCTGTGAGCACAGGAAATATTGCTCTACAAATAAGTTAGATCATTATTAAAATTACGAATTATTATTTGATTTCATATTTAAAAATAGATGCAGCTATCATGATGTTTCAGTAGGAAACATTTTAAAATTTGAAAAGAAATTTGTTTATGTGACTGGCAATTCCAATATCAAAATCCGATGAAAAAAATTTGGTTGCCTACATTATTTTTTAAAAATTTGAAAATGGCAACCACAGTATAGTAGAATACTATGGAAAAATCATAAAGTTTTTGTTTCCATGGAACTAGCTTGATACAAAGGCCTTATATAGCTTTTCCATAAGCAAAATATCAATAGCATAAGATAACAATACTCACACACTGCTCAATCCAAGTATTTGACCATGATAAACATCTAGCATTACAATATTCTGCAGTCTAAAAAAGAATGACATAGTTACATCCTAATTTGCTACAACGTATGATACAATACTGTTCTAATACTATGTATAGATTTAATGCAAAACTTCCATTTGCAAAGAAACTGTATGATTCTGGTGATATCTATTAAAAAATCAAGTGTAGTGAAAAATCAAAGAAAGCTTAGAAAGAACTCTCATGTGCTGAGAGAGTATTGGAGACACATTAAAAATAATTCGAAATTACTTGCACTTGAGATATTGATTAAAAAGCTGAAAACTAATTATGTAAATCTAATGCACAAAGTAACAGACCATCTATGTACCAAGTTTTATTGAAATGTGATTAGAACCCAAAAAATAATATGGGAATTAATATGAACAGATTTTTACCCCAAACTAATCAGGTCTGTACATTGTCCTAGAGCATCTTTGTACTAAGTTTTATTGAAATGGAATAATTAGTATTTTAGATATCAGTGTGATACCTTAGAATTGGTTAATTATGCAAACTAGTAATTAATAAGTTCAGATTTCAACCCACAATTAATCAGGTCTATTTATTTTCCTACAGCATCCATGTACAAAGTTTCATTGATATGTGATGATTAGTACTTATTAGATATCAGTGTGAAAGTTGAAAATTGATTAATTATGCAAATTAGGTGATTAATAAGCATAAATATTGACTGAAAACTAATTGGGTCCCTGCTTAGTTCTAGATTCATGGAAATGTGATGATTAGTACTTGAGATATCAGTGGAAAAGCTAAAAGTTAATTAATTAATTTATTATCCAAATTAGGTAATTAATATGCACAATTATTTACCCTGAAACTAATCAGGTCTCTGCATAGTTCTTGAGTATCTAAGTTTCATTGAAATGTAATGCTTACAACTTGAAATATCAAAAGTTAAAAATTAATTAATTATGCAAATTAGGTAATTAATATGTACTGATATTACCCTAAAAACTATTAGGTTTGTGCAGTGTCCTATGACATCTACGTACGAAGTTTCATTGAAATGTGATTAGTACAAAAATTTACTAATCATTATGCAAAATAGGTAATTAATATGCACAGATTTTTACCATAAACTAATCAAATCTGCGCATGAGTTCAGAACATCTATGTACCAAGTTTCATCAAAATCCAATGAGTGGTTGTTTAGATATCAGTGGAGCAGTCATGGAACAGCTAAAAATTAGCTAAGTATCATGCAAATTAGGTGATTAATATGCACAGATTTTTACCAAAAACTAATCAAATCTACGCATAAGTTCAGAGCATCTATGTACCAAGTTTCATCAAAATCCAACGAGTGATTATCATGCAAATTAGGTAATTAATATGCATGGATTTTTACCAAAACCTAATCAAATCTGCGCATTGGCCCACGGCATCTAGCACCAAGTTTCATCAAAAACCGATGTATGGTTCTTTTAGATAGCAGTGGAAAAGACGGACACACATACACACACACACACACACACACTATCAAACTGCAAAGACTCCCACTGTGTGCTTCGCATATGGGAGTCAATTAGAAAGCCAAGTGCATAGAAAGCAGGCACTCAGTTTACTACCAAGGCAATAAGTAATGTAGAATTGTGTGATCAAATCAACTTAAATTGTAATGCAATTACCAAGAAATGATTTTATTTATACACATATGAAAACGTGACAGAAGTAGGTAATGAAATTTATTAATTCGTTGCACATTGAAAAGTACATTTGTATTTACATTTACCAGTAAATGTATG